CTTTCGCATCAGGATGTTATGTAATGGATAAAGCTATGGGAGAAATTACGTCCATTTGAGGAAGAAAGAACCAATAGCGTGAAAAAAATCAACTTTTGTAAAGCAAGTATATACAAATATACATGTATACATGCATGTAGTATTCTTTGTGGCAGCCAGAAAAATTATTTTACACTTAATTGAAAAAAGAATCACCTTACTCCCTGTCTGTTTAGCTCTACTGGTCAGAGCTTATGCGATACTAATGCGTCCGGCGTCCGTCCGTCTGTCTGTCTGTAAACAATTTTTCAAAACGCTACTCCTTCTACAGTTTTGGTCTAGTTTCAATATAACTTGGCACACAAGTAGACTACACTAAGATACAGAAAATAGTGAATCGGTTTTTGATTTCGATGAACGGTGTTGCTGTGGTAACTAAAAATAGAATTTTCTGTGAAATTCCTTTAAAACGCTACTCCTCCTACAGTTTTAATCTGATTTCAATATAACTTGGCACACAAGTAGACTACACTAAGATACATAAAATAGAACATTGCTTTTTGATTTTGATGAACGGTGTTGCCATGGTTACTAAAAATAGAATTTTCTGTCAAATTCCTTTTAAACGCTACTATTTCTACTTTTGTCTACAGTTTTGGTCTTATTTCAATATTACTTGGCATACAAGTAGACTACACTAATATACATAATAAAATAGTGCATCGGTTTTTGATTTCGATGAATGGTGTTGCCATTGTTACTAAAAATAGAAATGTCTGTGAAATTCCTTTAAAATCCTACTCCTTCTACATCTTTGGTCTAAAGACAATGGCTTCTTTTCTCATTCTTTGTTATAAGTACAAACCAGTAGAGCTACAGTCTCGATAGAGAATTCTGGTTTATGATAGGAATTATGATTTAAGGTATCAACTTCAAGTATATTTTAGAACAATGTCTACTCATTCACCTAACACGTCTTAAATAAATGAAGATATATTAAGAGTTTTAAAGAATTGGTAAAATAAGTTTTGATCAACTTTACAAAATTTATAACACTGGCCCAAACTGGCAGTTGATGAAAAAACAATAAAATAGTCTACTTTCCTATTTGTAACCATTATGTGTCCAGTGGCAAAGAGCCTGTTAGGATAGCATAAAAAAGAAGAAAAAATGAATGTACAAATGTCGACAATTCATTTATTAAACAAGAGGCCCATGGGCCACATCGCTCACCTGAGCAACAGTGGCAAATTGAAGTTATGTGAAATGTTTGAAACACATTTTTAATGTTTTTAGTATTGCACAAATATTAAACTTTCCTGGCTAAATTGTTTTTAAAAGATGTTGAAAGATTTTCCATGTAAATTACTACGCAAAACTTTTGTTTTTCCATTGCGTCCCCACCCTACAAGGGGTCATGATTTTAACAATTAATATTGTAGACCAAGTGATGATTCTTCCACATAAGTTTCAATTTTCTTTGCATATTTCTATTCTTGTAAAGAAGCTTTTTAAAGAATTGCTAATTAATTCATTACTATATGTAAAATTTTGAGACCTGCACCCCATTTCCGTACCCTTCAACCAGGGGTCATGATTTTAACAATTTAAAATCTACACTATCTAAGGATGCTTCAAAATAAGTTTCAGTTTTCCATGCCAAATGGTTTTTAAGGAGAAGATTTTAAAAAATTTTTACTATATATTTAATGTAAAATTTTGACACCCCCCCCCCTACCCGTAGGGGGTCATGATTTTAACAATTTAAAATCTACGCTATCTAAGGATGCTTCCAGATAGTTCAACTTCCCAGGTTAGATGGTTCTTAAGATGATTTTTAAAAATTTTCCTATATATTACTATGTAAAATTTCGTTTTCCCATCGAGGCTTCATCTACCCCTGGGGGTCATGATTTTTAACAATTTAGAATCTACACTAACAAAGGATGCTTTCACATAAGTTTCAGTTTTCCAGGCTAAATAGTTTTTAAAAAGATTTTTTTAATTTTCCTATATATTACGATGTAAAATTTTGTCCCCCCCCCCCTCCTACCCCCGGGGGTCTCATGATTTTAACAACCCTGAGGATATTTCCACATTAGTTTCATCTTTCCGTGCTACCGGTAAATGGTTCTTAATGAGATTTTTTTTTTAAATTACTATATATTCTTATGTCAAGTTAATTTTTTTCTTACCCCTGGGAGTCATGATTTTAACAATTTAGAATGTACATGGGTACACTTCACAAGGATGCTTTTATGTAAGTTTCTACTTTTCTGGTCATGTGGTTCTTAAGAGTATTTTTAAAAAATAAGTAAAATAGTCTGTCTCCCCCTAAAAAAGGGCTTGGTCCTTCATTTGTACAATTTAGAATTCCCGTTACCTAAGGATGCTTTATGCCAAGTTTGGTTGAAATTGGCCCAGTGGTTCTTGAGAAGTCGCAAATGTGAAAAGTTAACAGACTGACGGACAGATGGACCAAATGTGATCAGAAAAGCTTATTTGAACTTTTGTTTCAGGTGAGCAAACAATTTAGTAGGGCTCGGTATTGGCCCGAGATTTCGTATTGCGATATTTTAAACTGTATTGCGATATGTATTGCAATATTTTCAATGTTATAAAAATAGCATTTTCCTACTATATTTACAAGCAGAATGTTCATAACTATTATAAGTAACCAACACGAAAAAACATCTTGTTGATTTAAGTTATGCTTTGAAATGTTCCCACAAAACAACTTCTGGCCCCGGGATCATGAAACAGACTTAGACTTAAGTCAAAATTTCAATTATCTATAAAATCTTTAAAACTTGTTAAAGTAAACTCATAATTTCCATGCAACAGCAGGCTGATGATAAACTCATAATTTCCATGCAACAGCAGGCTGATGATACAAAATTGGAAAGCATTTTCATTTTTGGTTGCAAGACCTCTTAAAAAATTTTAGCATCTAAGGCATTTGTTGACTTAAGCTTAAGATGCTTCATGATCCCGGAGCCTGAACTACTGTTTGGCTTAATAACAAACGTTCATCAGTCTATTTTTATATTTAATGACAAATTCCTTAATCTAAGAATATTGCCAATATATTGATATTACAAAATCACATTTCTTTACGATATTTTTTGTCATTGTATTGCAATATATCGAAATATCGATATTATTGCCCAGCCCTACAATTTAGAATTTCCTTCACTTAAGGATTCTTTGTGCTAAGTTAGGTTGAAATTGGCCCAGTGGTTTTCTAGAAGTCAAAAATGTGAAACGTCTACAGACGGCCGGAACAGTAAATTTGATAAGAAAAGCTCCGTTGAACCTTTGGTTCAGGTTAGCTTTAAAGGAAAAACAATGATATTATATCACTAGCTTTATTGGATGCACAGAAGAAGTCAACAATATAGTTATCCTCAATTGTAAAAACATGTTTTCATAAACAATGATAAAGTCATCATAAACAACACCAATATTTAGTTTACAAATATTTTCACCAGATTTTCAACCATAAAACCATTGCAAGTTATGTTGAAGTTTCCTCTTAAATTGTATATATATGATACAGGCTACAAATCTAAACAGTGAAGTCAAAATCTCATTTTGTACAATTTTAGGAAGGAACAAGAAATTAATGTTTTTCAATTGTTTGTAATTAAATATTAAGAAATTTTCAACTTTTTAAACATAAATGTTGAACTAATATTAAGAAGTTTGTTCTATTTTGCCAGTTTCAAGCACTAAAAAGCAAAAAAAAAATCCAAATGCACATTCTGATAAAAAGTGAAATATGTTGCATGACATGTTAGCTGAAAACAAGATGAAAGACTTTTGAATAGTGCGGACCTAAAACAATGCATAAATTAACTTAATGACTAGGAAAATTTGCGTAGTAAATATTAAAAGAAGATATCAATAGTAACAGATGTCTGATGGGGCAAAGGGGGGATTTTAATTGGGTCGGTGAAGCAGATTATGGTTATTTTTCAGATTTCCTTCTGTAAAAAAAAAAAAGAGGCGGGGGTGGGATTTGGTGATTCAGTGGCACTTCTCTTTTCCTTCTTGTAGTCATCCTTCAATTGAACTTGTGATTTTTTTTTTTGTATAAAAAAGAACAAAAGTACAAGCTGCCTGACAGGTCAATGAAACAAAATCAAGTAATTACTACAAACAAACTAAATGGCAACTAAAAAAATCATGTATTTTTTTTTTTCTTTACATGGTAGTTAGTTTTATCACATGTTACTGCATGCTTATTCTTATACGTCATGTTTATTTCTTTTTTTTTTTTTAAAGATGGCACTATGTTGGGTATCAAATTTACAGTTTTGAAATACAAACTAGTAAAGCATACATGTGTATTAAAAGCCAATGTTCTAAATAAAATCACAAAAAAAACATCAACTTTTATCATTTTTGTGAAAAATAAATTTGAAAAACAAGGGGAAAAAAGAAACTTCTACGTAGACATGTTGTTCAAATGTCAAAAACACTAAAATAACACTTGTATGCAGTCATACACAACTACATTAACAATATATCAGTTACCTTCAACAGCACATTCTTGAAAGCATAATTCAAGATGGTTTTGTCATTAAACAAGATAAATGATTACGAAAAAGGACACAGAGAAGAAGTTGTTTCAAACTAGAAAGTGGACAAGTTATTTGACATGTCCATACATGCAAGACTAAAGCCAATAATAAAAAAAAAATGATCAATTTGATATACTCCAACCAGTTTATCAAAATTGCCATACTGTATCATTAATTTTTTGCTTCCTTGGAAATAGGATTGATTAAATTTAAATTTTAGTGCTATGGTATCTAATGAAATTTTGTCTAGGATGCATTTGGATTTTAACTTTTCAACAATAAATATTAAAACTTTATAGTTATCCATTGTGTGCAGTAATAGCATTTATAAATTTCTCTGTCTGTGAATTTTATGTTATCTATTAATTACTAGTAGTTCAATTGTGTGTTTAAAGCAAAAAAAAAAAAAAAAAAAAAAAAAAAAAAACTTACACCTACTTACTTTGAAAAATGTGGGATATGGAGTATATCAAACAAAAATATTCTTTAAAATGGCTTAACATGATCTACAAAAAAAAACTACATTTTAAACAACTCTTCTGCAAATCAATGTTTGTATGGTGTTTGAGCTAGGTCAAAACACTTATTTTCGAGACAACATTTTCCCCTTTGGCATATTCAACTTTGACCCTTGGCAAGAGCAGCAGAAAGTTTTCCAGTTCATCTGGGTCATTTTTGAGATGTTCTTTCTGGACTGAGATTAGGAAATGCATCAGAGTTGCATTGTACGCATTTAGTTTGATGGTATTTTCATTTGTTTTGATTTGGAAAGTAGATGTGAGGGTAGTGTCCATAGCAGAAACTTTAAACTTCATGTTACACCCAGCACATTTGATGAACTGTGATTTAGTTTCAGTTTCGAGCATTTTCCTATTGCAGGATAAGCAGTGGTTGGTTTTTTTGATCAGAATGTTGACAACTTCTCCTTCAACAGTTGCAGTTTTGGATTCTGTGATGTATGTGTTTTCATCTACTCCCTGGAAAGCCGTTTGATTTTCAGTTAACTCGTATGTTGTATCTTTGGTTGTGGTCAGGGATTTCACATTGGAGAATAGCCTTGTAGAAATATTTCGAAAGAAGATGACTGCATTGAGGCTGATATTTGGATCATCTACCAGAGTATCCCACAGTGTGAGGGAGATCATTGATGTTTCATCAGCTATTGTTATTTCCTTTTTCTTTAGTAGAACCTTCCTTACTTCCTGAACACTTTCTTGCTTGACTGCAATGACTTTGGCAAGAACTGAAACCTATGTAAAAGAATGAATTTTGATCGAGATAATTATATAAATAGAGGAACATGTTATATATCAAGAATATAAAGACAAGTTTTTTCCCATCCTCTTGGGAATGGTACCGGTACCCATTGATTCAATAAAGAAAAATAGCATTGAAATATGATTATTTGGGAATTTTCTTTTGGTTTACCACCCAAGTAAACCAGAAGTTACTGTCGAGACTGAAGCTCTACTGGTTTGCACTTATAGCAAAGGAAGAGAAAAGTACTTAAGCAGTTGGAAATTGAAACTTTTCAACAGCAATAATTAGAATAATGATCCTTGATTAAGTCTCTATGTTTATAGTGAAGTCTACTTGCATGCCACTGTGACACTGCATTATAATCAGACTTAAACTGTATTTTGGAGTAGCATTTTGAGAGTATTTAACAGAAATTTCTATTTTTAGTAACCATGGCAACACCATTCATTGAACTGAAAAACTGATTTACAGAATTATGTACCTTAGTGTAGCCTACTTGTGCCAAGTTATATTGAAATCGGACCAAAACTGTAGGAGGAGTAGCATTTTGAAAGAATTTTACAGAAATTTCTATTTTTAATAACAACGGCAACACCCTTCATCGAAATAAAAAACTGATGCACAGAATTATGTATCTTAGTGTAGTCTACTTGTCTGCTAAGTTATATTGAAATTAGACCAAAACTGTAGGGAGAGTAGCAACACAAGGAAAAAGACCCCTGCAATTTGGGTGGAATTGAGCAGGAATTGGCAAATTCTGGGCGTACTTGAGGTGGAGACGGAATTTTCAGAAAGTTACGCCTAAGGAGAAGAGATGTCTTACCCATCCACTCATTAATTAATCTTTAACTGGATGTAGGCCTTTCAACTAATTTTTCAAGTTGCACATATGGTAAAAAACATTGTAAGGATTGATTTATAGGTTCATGAAATTATCAAAAAAGATAATAACTTATGCATACTTTCAATTACATCTTTAAAAAGTTTAATCATTTATAATTGACTTTTGTGATGTTGTGTTTAAGGACAGGTAACTCAGGTGTGAAAAATGACCAACTTAATGCCGATTTATGGGTTATTTATAGGAATGACATATAGGCTGCTTCAGCATTGGTAAACAAAAGGGTTCCTTACATTGTTATGTACACAAAAAGTTTTGACCAAAAGAAAGAGAATGCTTTCACTCTACCTGAAATAACAGGGTCAAATGAATGGGGAACAGACTATATTCAATAGTTATAACTTTCTTTGACGATTATTATGAAGAAGAAAATTTAATGTCATGTTTTTTGTGTTCGCGCTTTTTCGCTTCCTGTGTAAATATATATATATTTACAAGTAAATGCAACAACTGATCATCTTATTTGTGTTACTAAGCACGAAGGGGAACGACCGAGTATAAAAACTTAATTAGGTTAGAACTGAGAAGGAGGGTAGATATCACTTTTTATTTTAATTAAAAATTTTAATAATATGCAGTAAACCGGTGTCCGCAACTATACAGTAAATAAGTTTAACATTGGTGCTAAATTTTAAAACCACTGGATTCTACTGAGAGCAAAGAAACACTTGGGAAATGCTAAAAACTGCCTTGAGTGTAAACAGTTAGATACCCCGAGCCTGCTCTAAACAAGATTTAGCAGTGAGTTATCGTTCATAACACCGACCCCTAGCGGCAGTTGAAAGGCCTACTGGATGCTTGATTCAATACTTTTAAGAGATGAATGGGTCTGCACTGGTCTTCTACCATAATTTTTTTTTTTCAACATATTGGCCAGTGCTTGATAATTACACTCATGGGAGAGGTAGGATTTTTCTAACGTACATTATTTTTGTAATAGATTTCTTTCATTAAGTATATGCTTCAAAAAATAAATATTTTCTTGATTAATCACTTTTTAATAAGGGCAGTGCAATACTATTACATTTTTTGGGATGTGTAAATGAATAGTAAAATGACACGTTTTAAAAAAAAAATTTCCCTTAAATTAAAGGTCACAGTGACCTTGAAATAGGTTCCGACAAACCTTCTACCTAAGATGCATAAAGTGGCCAAGTTTGATGATTGCAAGTTTCATAGTTTTCTAGTTATGGGCCAGAAAGGATTTTTGTAAATTTGGCTGTAACTTCTTAATTAAAGGTCAGAGTGACCTACTTTTTGTGTGCGAGACACTTTCTACCCAAGATGCATCAGATGACAAAGTTTGATAATCCTACGCCTAATAGTATTAAAGTTATGAGCCTGAAACGAAAAAAGCTAACAGACAGACGGACACGAGGCCAGAACATAAAACGTTCCGTCTTCAGATGTCATAAATTAAATGTATTATCCCCTTATTTAATATCTGACAGAGTAAATGAAAGAAATCTTTACTCTAAGCCAATGTTGAATTAATGCCTCCCTTGGGCCAACTTTATTCATCCTCTCTTTTGTTTCATGTCCTTAATTATTCTACAAATTTGCATGAATAAAACTTCTTGCATCTTAGAGTTAACTAAAGCATATTTTTGCAAAAAGATTTTTATTAAAATATCATTTATACATGTATATCATTCTATAAAATACACTGATCACTCCAAAAAGGAAATGAAGATAATCTACAATATGATAGTTTTAAAACTGATTTCAATTCCTGTTAGAGTTATCTTCCTTAGATATGAAGTTCAGGCATAAAAAATATTTACTGCAATAAAAATCTTATTTTCAAACTGAACACAGTAAAACTTTCAGATATTTATTATGTTATAGTGGTCTACATCCATACAGAGTTTAAGACTGAACCATTAAGTAGTTTCCAAGATAGAGCCCACAAAAGAAATGAAAAAAAATGAAGTTAATCTTGGGTAAAATCATTAAAAATTATCTGATCAGAATAAAAAAAACAGGCACACAACTTCAAATGGTTACAAACCACTGTGCAAAAATTTCACAAATTAAATTCCTCAGACAGACTCTGGACAAAATTTGCATCTACAGACAGACAGACGGATGGATATGGTGATTCCAATATAGCAACCCTCCTTCCCCCCAAAAAACTTTGCGGGTATAAAAATCAAATTTACTTACAGTGTTTCTCTCCGGTATGTTTTGTATTATTTCTTGAATTTTCTTGGGTTCTTTCTCATCATTTGTTTCCAAGGGATGAAACATGAATGTCAAATTCTTAGCTACCTCCATCCTAGATCTAGAAAAAGAATTCTTACAGTTATCCACCTTTCCGAGGAAAATGAATGGAAAGTGTACATTAGCAAATTAAAAGCAGATAAATCAGGAATGCTAGATCAAAACAATTTTCAAATATAACCTGTTATCCTGGTATCTTCCTAGTCATCTTAAATTATTTATCTATAAAATCTTGATTATCAGTTTTCATCTTTGTAAGATCATGTATAACAAGCATTCTGAGAGTATTGCATAAGCAATACATGTCCCCTTTTTCTTCAGGATGTCATTTTATAATATGCAAAAGTCATGTCCAAGGTAAAACTGAAAGATTTTCAAGTTGTAATTGTCTTAAAAGTAATAAAATAATCCACATTAAGACGAAAATTCAACTCATTTATCCACCGTCCTTTCCTCGCTTCAAATTTTTGTCGACAATTGGAAGTTAACGCAGTTCGAACCCGATCTCAATTAAGCGATTATGAAAAATATTCAAAATGCCATAATTCTGTCAAAAATCAATAAAGCGAAGCAAAATTCAAACTTGATTGTAACTTATTAAGATACACTCACATACCAAAATTCAGCTCAATATCTGCAAGCGTTTAGAAAAAAAGTGTGGAAAACCAAGTGGGACAGACTGACGGGGACAGACAGACGCAGAGGAAACCTATACCCCCCCCCCCACCCCGGTTTCACTGGTAGGGGACTAATTATGTGTACTTGTTTTTTGTATGATGACATGATACCAAATAAATCCTACTACTACTACTGCTTAAGTATCGTTCAAAAATAAAAACATTACATTGTATCACCTTGACAATAAAGTAAACAGACCGTCAGACATTCAATTCACATTGTTTACATATTTTCAATACACCTGTTGGTTGCCATACTGGATGTGAATGATCCGAAATACTAGGGGGCATCTCAAACTTCATAGAAAGGTCATCAAAACGCTTGAAAATACGAGAAAAAGTAGTTTATTAAGCTGTACTTTTCAAGCTCTTTTCTGATACAGAATCAAAACGAAGCTGAGGAAATCTGGAAAGTTATCTCCCCCTTGCTCGGGCACTGCTAGAAATAGCTTTAATAAATGTCATGTATAGCCTTATTTAGTTGTTTCAGAAGACATTTCTGTTTTATGAAAGGCAGACTAATAGTCAAATAAAAATTATGCCTAAGACTTTTAATATTTATAAAAATATTATGTCCACAATTTTTTTTAGTCCCCTACCGGTGAAATTGGAGGGGACTATAGGTTTCCTCTGCATCCGTTCCTGTCTGTCCAACTTGGTTTTCCGCACTTTTTTTCTAAACGCTGGCAGATATTGTGCTGAATTTTGGTAAGTGTCTGTATCATTATGACTTACAGATCAAGTTTGAATATCGTTGTGATTCAATGATTTTTTACGGAATTACGGCCTTTTCAATTTTTCAGGGTTTTCCGCATTTTTTCCAAAACGCTTGTAAATATTGAGCTGAAATTTGGTATGCCAGTTAGTGGTGTTCCAATCATCGATTATTATCAAAAATCAGTCGATTACTGACATAATCTAAGCAATCGATTGCATTTTAAAAATTCTGATTAATCAGTTTATTATTTATTATACAAGCATAATAGTTTCTAACCCTAATTTTCAAACCACAGTATTGTTTTTGACTTATTTGTGTAACTTAAAGGTGCAGATAAATAAACTCTTGTATTTCAAACCGTATAACAAAGCATGTTTCTGGGCAGGGGCGTACTTTTGGTTCTATAAAATGAACAAAGGACCAGCGGGATCACCACAGAAAGTTGTCATTTACCCATTCTTACGATTTACTTGTTTAAAATCATGTTATTTTTACATGTCCGATTATAATCGATAATTAGTTTGTTAGAGTAGCCCAATCATTGATTAAAAAATTCTTACCGATTCCCATCACTAATGCCAGTTTATCTTGATGAGTTACAGATCAAGTTTGAATTTTGCATACCTTCATTGATTTTTGACAGAATTATTGCATTTTGAATTTTTCACATTGTTTAATTAAGATCGAGTTTGTGTTGCGTTAACTTGCGAATGTCAACATAAATATGAAGTGAGAAGAAGACGTTGGAAAAGTGAGTTGAATTTTCGTTTTAATGTGGATTATTTTAATAGGTTTAATGCATTCATAAAATAAAAATCATGCAGCTTTACCTTGAACATAACTTTTGCATGTTATAAGATGACATCCTGAGAAAAAGGGGGAACCCGGTAGGGGACATGTATTGCTTATGCAATACTCTCAGAATGCTTGTTTAAATTAATAAAAACGATCTATATGGCTTATACTGTAAAAACGTAGCAGCTTTAGAACACAATTTGGCAAAAAGATGCATTTCTATTGTTAAGTTTTATCAGATGGCCAAGTTTGATTGACTCAAATATTGATGAATTGATAGAATTATCTTGTTATCCAAAAGTTTTTTTCTTTGTTGAACTAGCAATTTGATCACATATTAACAGGTCCGGCACAATGTCTTGATTAAGCTATATAGCTTAATTTAGCTATATAGCTTTATTAAGCTATTCAGAATAGCTTGATTAAGCTATTTTCGCAGACTTTTTTCTCAAATGTGTTATTTTTTCAACATGTGCAAAAAGTCGCACCTAGGTGCAGTGGAAATATTAAACTTTGTTTTCTTCTGAATACAATGCATGTAAAAATTACTCACCAAATTGCGTCTCATTGAGAGACTTTGTACTCAAAAATTTAAAAGTTTTGGGGCTATTGATGAGTGACAACACAGTTATTTCTTGAATGAAATTATAAAGGAGGCCAGTTATGGCCAACAGGATAATTGATTAGTAACAGTTCAGCACAATGAGAAGCAATCATACTTACCCATGCCTCACTGCACATTCAGTTACTCAAACAATGGAAATTCTTATTTTGCTTAAAGTATTCAACAGCAGCAATGTAAGAATTTTCTATGATTTAGGTTGTATTTTTGGTAGTCCATAATACATATATGAATAGTCAAATACTTGCGACTTTTTGTTTATTTCTTTCAAAAAACGTTTTTGTGAAAAACTGCATATAAATAGCTTTATCAAGCTATTCTGAATAGCTTAATAAAGCTATATAGCTTTTTAAAGCTATATAGCTTAATCAAGAGATTGTGCTGGACCTGATTAAACTGTTACACATAGCACAATTTAGATTGCACAAAAAGAGAAACATTTTCAGGAGAGATTTTTTGTTAAATGTTTTAAGATGAATTATGTTTAAAGATGAATTCAAAGTTTTCAGTTGGAGTATACAAATGTTCTAGCAAGTGGATTTCAATAAAATTATACATATATATACATGATATACATGACGAGATCTGTGACATCCTTTTGCAAACAGTTCATATTTTTTCCACCTATAGCCTAGTCCCAGCGAGACTAACCCTAATCACAGTTATAACTAGGACATCCTTTTGCAAACGAAGCTCTTCGTTGGAAAAAAAATGGATGGTTGCCAATATTCAAAATGCTACAAATTTCACTACTTGCATGTTCTAAGAACATGCAGTGTTTACCGCTTACCTGGCATTCACCAACACGTCCGTGTTTTTGTTGTTCTCTCTGTTGATAACTTCTTTGATTGCAGTGATTTTGATGGGGGACTTTCCATGTTCGGCCTCGACAAAATGGCTATGTTTCGAGGGATCGAAACAGACGATCTTCTGGTATACGTCGCTGTCTATTTGTATTTTTCCATCAAAATACTTTGCATTCCTGGCGCTCGTCTTTATAGGAGACACATCGTGAATATATCCACAAACTGTGTCTTCTGCAATTTTTTGTCTTTTCGCCATGAAATTTTGTCCTTCCGACGCCATTTTTCCCGCCAAATGTCAATTTACTGATCGGAAGATTTTCTCCGTAATTCTAAGTTGAGTTGCTTTTATGAAATTCATACATTAATCCGATTAAAAAAAAATATTAAGTAGTCCCTACTTTATGAAACATAAGCATTTGACAGAATTTAACATTGTGTGTTTAGTTTTTCAAATAACTCTTATGGAACTATTTGGATTTTCGTTCGTTCAGCGTAGGAATAAATTACACCATCATCAACCAACGAAATAGTCGCATTCTCTTTAGCATGACATGCGCGGATCTGATCTTCCTTGTTTTTCTTCTTAAGAACAGAAATTGTTTCAAGATGATAGATAGATCCTAAATACTTAAATGTTATTCAACATTCTGAAAACTGCAAACTTAATCTTCAAAACTTTTAGCATGGTATATGTTAAATAAGGGGTCTGGGGGTAGTATTTTTGCACACACACTCACAGAGAGAGAGAGAGAAAGAGAGAGAGAGAGTTTTTCATAATGTTAGTTTGACCAACAGTGGTTTAGACGTGTCCTGTTCGCTAGAGGAGCTAGGTTTAGTTTTGCAGGGCTTAGGCCAAATGCAATTTTATTCTATTATCATTGGAATATTCTGGCAAGCTTTAGTAATATGTCATGTTGGATTCATTAAATCTTAATCAATACAATTAAAACCCAAGGATTTGAATAAACTTTACATGTAGACTTTAGTTTTTAAAATTCAAATTGTGTGTAATATGTTCATTCATTAATATAATTATATTTTTAAAATAGGAAATTTTGGAAATAGAAACGCTTTTGTTAATCAATATTGAAACCCATTTTCAATCCACCTGAGCTGTTTTCAAAGCAAAGAGTGTATGATCCAAAAATCAACTATATTTCAACTCTCAAATACATATTGTTTGAAGTTCACATTAATATGAGTTTTAGCTTGTAATTTTAAGAACGCCAAAGATCATACAAGACAATTATTTTTCAGGAGATATTTGGTTCTAGAATGGGGGTGGTGGGGGGGGGGGGGTGTAAAAATTGTCGAGTCAGGTCATGGCTTAACATGACAATATATTTAATTTCTAGGATTATAAGAGTGCATGAGTTTAATACTTATTTTCACTAAACACTGTTGGACAACTTTATTTAAACCCCCCCCCCCCCACGCACACAGATATACATACATGTATATTTACCAAACAAAAATGAAATATTTGTCCCTTAGATATTTATTCATTTAAA